GCCCTGTCCCTGGGCCAGCGCTGCCCTGGGTGGCTCTGCCTACTGCCCTCCAGCACTGCAAGGGTGCGGCTGCAGGGGGAGGGGTGCCCTGCTCCAGGCCGGCGGCAGCTCTGTCCTGGCTGCCAACCCCTCCAGCCCCGCAGCCCACCCCGCCCCAGAGCCACCAGCGGCCCCCAGCCCCTGCCCACCGCGGGGTACTGCAAAGTCGAGCAGGGTGCCGCCCTCTGTCGGGTGAGACACGAGACACGTAGCTGCGGGGGGGGCAGCACAGGTGGCCTCGGGCAAGTCTGGGGCCCAGTGGCAGGGCAAGGCCTGTACAGCCCACGAACCACTCCAGGACTCTCCCAGACCCTGCCTCTGCCCCACTGATGCCCATGAGCCAGCCCCTGCCCCACTGACACCCCCCTCGGTGGCCCGGCAGGTGGATCTGGAGCGGCTGGCGGAGGAGAGTGCGTACTTCCAGGCACTGGCCCGCTCAGGGATGCAGGAGGCCGTGGCCCGGCAGCTGGAGCTGCCTCATGTGTCGTCAGGTGCCTTCCATGCCATACTGGAGTTCGTCTTCACTGGGCACTTTGCAGTGGGCGTGGAAGAGCTGCTTTCAGCAGGACAGGCTGCTAGCTACCTGCAGGTGCCAGCCTTTCTGGCACGCTGCTGGCCAGCCCTGAATGCCCACCTGAGCCCCCACAACTGCCTGACCCTGCTACGCTTTGCCGAGGCCATTGGCTGTCCTGAGATGCGGGCCGAGCTGTGCCGCTTCCTGAGCACTGAGCTGCTGGAGCTGGCGCCCATTACCAGGGACCTGGCATCGGTGCTGCGGGAAGAGCTTGCGCAGCTCCGGGAGCGCGGCCCCCTGCAGCTCTGCCTGCTGCGCAAGGAGAACCTGGGCATCCAGCCTGGCCCAGAGATGCAGGCGCTCCGTGGGCTATACCGCCTCCCGCTGGGCAGGGTGGGTACCTGGCACCGTGCCTCCACCCTGCCCTTCCAGGCCAAGAAGTGGAGCTTCAGTGCTGCCCAGCTGCTCAACTACCTCTTCCTCATCGGTGGCTACCGAGAGCCACGCGGCACCCGGGGCTTCACCTTCCGCATGGCCGCCTTCCGCTACAACCCTCTAGCCAACCGTTGGCAGCCCACTGCCCCACTTCTGAAGGTCAGTCCTGCCGCCGGCACCGCACCCTGCATCCTAGACCAGCCTTCATAGTGACCCCTCGTGCCCACAATCGGTCACTGCCTACCACATTACCAACCCTCACTTTCACGGCTGGCCACATCTGCCCCAGGCATGTGCCACCTGCCTCACCCAGCCCCACTCCTGCTCCCTTGCACACATAACCAGTCCCACCTGGCCCAGCTCCCACCCCATGCACTGACTGGTGCCACTGCTGCCCCTTGGCCCTGTGCTAGGCCCCTTTGTCCCAAGCAGTCTTCCCCCACTTTGCCAGTGCCCCAGTATAACCCCTGCACCCATGCCCTGACCCCTGTGACAGCCCCTCACATCTGCGCCCAGCCCCAGGGCCTGTGCCCAGCTCCCACCTCACAAAGGGCAGGGCCCTTTACCACCCTGGCTCCTGCCCCTCCTGACTGTACTGTCCCACAGCGCCGGCGGCACTTCAGCACAGCTGTGTCAGGGCAGCACATCTATGCCATTGGAGGCTGGTATCTGGACTCGCTTCTGGCGCCAGACGTGAGCACAGCACTGTACGCAGCTGTGGAGCGCTACGACCCCTGGCATGACACCTGGGCCTTCGTCTCCTCCTTGCCTCTCACCGACATCACCTTCGCCATCTCACTGTCCCATGATGTGCCACTCTGCACGGCCCAGGCTGACTGCCTCTATGCCCTGGGCAGTGTGCGGCGCACTGGGGAGAAGCTGCTGCTGCGCTATGACGTTCAGGCAGGTGAGCAGGAGTCCCCAGCGTGTCCTGCTCAGTGCCCTATGACCCCCCAGCTGGCCAGTGGGCCTGGGCTCAGCCCTGGGCAGAGGGTCCCTGCCCTCCAGGTGCTGCTGCCTGGAGCTGGGAGTCACCACCATAACCCCAGGCCAGGACGCTAGTGCCCACGGCCCACTCAGCCAGAGTCTTCCCCCTTGGAGACTCCTCCCCACACCTGGGTCATGCAGCCTTGGGCACTGGGGGCCGTGACCTGCAAGGGGATGCACAGGCAGGGGTTCAGAGCCATGCTGAGCCAGGGCTGGCTGGCCAGGGGTAGGGGCAGGGCGACTGGACACTGCGAGACTGGGGCTTGCAGGTGGGCAGTGCCGGATGCCGAGGCAAGGAACCTGCCCCTCACCTGCCCCTCATCCTCTCTTGCAGACACGTGGCAGGAGCTGCTGCCGACGCTGACGAAGGCAGACACCGACCTGCCAGGCCTCTACTTCCTGGGGGGCTCGGAGCCACTCTATGTGCTGGGTGGCAACGCCCGGGAGAACGTGCTAACCTCCTTCAGCCCCGAGGCACGGCGCTGGGGCCCCGCGCGCAGCCTGCCCCGGTGCGCTCTGGCGGGGCAGGGCGTGGTCCCCGCCTCTTCATGGCAGCCCCGGACCTGGGCGCGGTGCTGCGGGTGGAGCTAGACACGCTGGCTTGCTGCCCCCTGCCCCCGCCACCCTTCTCGCTCTTCTATGAGGCAGTCGTCCTCCTGCATTTCCCCCCGCCTGGCCCCGACGTGGGCAGCGAGCAAGGCAGGCGGGCACACAAGCCCTGACCCCTGCCCCATTGCGGGGCCAAACCGTCGAGGCCGAGGGCCTCACTAGGGGTTGCTGCGCTGCTAGGCCCACTCCCACCCCCGGGGGCTGCTGCACTGCCGAGCCGGGCCAACCGCTCCCCCGCGGGACGCTGCGCTGCCGGGAGCGGGCTGGACCCGAGGAGGCGAGCGAGCTGCCCCTGGCTCGGGTACTGCCGCGGGCTCTGTCTGGGGGCTGGGCCGGGCCGGGCCGGGCCGCTGCCTCCTCTGTGCCCGCCGCTCCCGCCCGCTCCCCTTTCACCCGGATTCCGCGCTATTTATAGGGGCCTGAGCAGGCAGCTGCTCCGGGCCTGGCCACGGGCCAGGGCCAGGGCCTGCGACACCCCCTGCAGCCCCCGGACCTGCCCCCGTGCGGCTCGTATACGGCAGGACCTTCCCCGGCTTCCGGCGCGGACAGTCCTCCTGGGTCCGTGCAGTTCTGCGCCCGGGCCGGGGCTGGACCGGGATTCCGCGCTATTTATAGGGGCCTGAGCAGGCAGCTGCTCCGGGCCTGGCCACGGGCCAGGGCCAGGGCCTGCGACACCCCCTGCAGCCCCCGGACCTGCCCCCGTGCGGCTCGTATACGGCAGGACCTTCCCCGGCTTCCGGCGCGGACAGTCCTCCTGGGTCCGTGCAGTTCTGCGCCCGGGCCGGGGCTGGACCGGCAGCGCAATAAAGCGGCAGCGGCGGCAGCGGCGGCGGCGTCCTCCTGAGCTTGGTCCGGGCGCGGGGGGAGGCGGGGCCGGACAGGAGTGACCTTCGCCCGGCTCAGCTCGCGCACAAGCTCCCACCGCTCACACGCGCCCCCTTGTCCCGCTCCTGCCTGAGCAGCCTGTGAACCCTACGGCGCCGCGCGGCCAGCCTGGCAGGGGGCTCAGCTCGTGGGCACGAGCGTATGCATCGGCCCCTGCACACGCAGGGGCACACGCTGCGCTCCGCTGCACACGCACGCCTCCGCTCTCGCTCTCTACTCAGCGTGGGCGCCCCGGGGCCGGGGCCGGGGCCGCAGCTTCCCACTGGGCACCGGCCTGAGCTCTCCTCTAACCGCCCTTCTGGAGGCT